AAAGTCAACATCAATCTTCACAAACAAATGATGTGTATGCTGAGGGGAAAGAAAGAGGATAATCATCAGGCAAAGTTCCCTAGAGGTGTTGTCAGTCTGGATTAAAAATGGTCAGGGCTGGGCTGAGATCCAGGCAAGTATGGGATTGACTGCTTCTGTCTCAGGTCCCAGCACCAGGTCACCTGTCTGGCCATTCCTCTGGGACAGTGAATGACGCAACAGGGAGGTAACCCTTTCCAAGGTGCCATCCCCTCAGAGCTAGGCTACACTTGGTTATTCTCTCCTTTAAGAAGCTACATGGGGTGGCGGAGGGAGGGGGCTTCCCTGGTGGACCAATAAAGAATCCCCCTTGCAGTCCAGGGGACACCGGTTCAATCCCTGGTCCAGGAAGATTTTACATGCCAAGGGGCAACTGGGCCCATGCATCACAACTATGGAGCCCATGTGCAGCAACTACTGAAGCCCTCACGCTCACACGCCGCAGTAAGAGAGTAGCCCCTGCTCCCCGCAATGAGAGAAAGCCCGCACACAGCAACAAGGACCCAGCACAGCCAAAAGAGAAATAAAATAAATGGATTTCTTTTTTAAAAAGGAAGCTGCAGGGGGACTTCCCTGGTGGTCTAATGGTTGAGAATCCACCTTTGAATGCAGGGGATGAGGGTTCCATTCCTGGTAGGGGAACTAAGATTCCCACATGCCTCAGGGCAACTAAACCTGCCTGCCACAACTAGAAAGAAGTCTGAGTGCCAAAACTAAGACCCGATGCAGCCAAAAACAAATTTTAAAAAAAAATTTTTTTTTAAGAAACGAAGAAGCTTCATGGATTTCCCCCATGGTCTCCTGTAAACCACCCGCCCAGGATGAACAAGGCCCTGTGGATATAAGTTAGCATCCAGAGGGAAGCAGTAAAGGCAAGAAGCCCCCATCTGAATATGAGACCTGAAACCAGGGGACGGTGTCCCCAGGAAGCCTGGGCCCAATCTAGGCTTCCCTTAGAGCCCATTTAGAAACCCCTTGACCTCTTAGATGGAGGCATTTTGGAAAACCGGGACCAGGCTCTATAGCCTGGCTCTCTCCTCCTCTTCCTGATTCCGAATGCCAGGCTTTCTTGGAGCTCACCTGGGCCCTCTTCCCTCCTCTCTCTCATCAGTTCCCATGGCTTAGGAACCACTCTAACCAGCCTGATGCAGTGCTGTCCAAATAGGAGTTTCCAGCCCTGACAGGCTTCCCTCTAAATCTGCAAGTGCAGTCGGGAGACCTCCAATCAGCTCTCCCATAAGCAACTCAAACATCTAGAGCAGAGCTCCTGAAGTCCCTGCTCAGACCCATCCCACCTCCACACACACCCCTCTACCTCCGTACATGGCCTCACCCCAGCCACCCAGTTGCTCCAGCTGGTAAACTGGGCACCACGATGAAACTGCCCTCTCCTTTATCACCTCATCCACTCCATTCAGAAGTCCTCTCATTCTCCAGTGCAGCCCCCAAGTTTCTTCTCTTCATATTCTTATCATAGCTCAAAGCTATTTGTTTACATTGTGCTTGTTTGGGGGCTCCCTTACAAAACTGAGAAATGATATTTCGCTCACCAATGTAAGTCCAACATTAAGCCTAGGGCCAGAAAGCAAACACTTAATGAATACGAGCTGGAGGAAGGAAGGAAAACATCCATTAATGATGACTTCATCCAGAGTGAAGCATTTGTCCCATAGCTGGCCTGGCGTCAAGTCTGGGCAGGGCAGGCATTGAGTCTCCCTACCTGTCTTTCCCGCTCCATTTCCACAGAGGGATACCAACAAGAAAAAGTTCCATCCTTCCCCAGAATGGAGCAGCAACGACCAAATCCCCCTCCTTCAGAGAGCCTCCTGGGAGATCAGAGAATTGCCATTGACTGCATTGCTCTGCCAAGCCTGGATGTGGAATTTCTATATGAATCTCTTTGCACCCCAGTAGCCAGTTTTAGTTGTTTCTTGAACTGTCATTTCCATTCTCTGAAATAAATTCAGCTTTGGCCTAAGATGGAAATAGTACTTTCCTGGCCTGGCCTGGCTAAACGTCCCACTCCATCATCTGCGTCTTCCCTGGGTACCCAGGCAGCCAGCCTTGCCTGGAGGGCAGCAGCCGCAGCCTCAGAGATAAGTGTGGGGGAGCGGAGGAGCTCCAGATTCAGGATCCTCCTGTGCACTCACTCCCAGCTCAGCCCCTCGGATGCTCTCGGACCCTAAGCAGGCCACTCCTCCCTGAATCCCTTCCAGCCATGACCTTCCGGACAGCCCTCCCAAGGCCAATGACCACATTAGCAGGGCTTCCTGGTGTAGGGCAGCCGCCGGGAACTTCATGGCTGCCCCACACACCCCGGGGACCCAGAGTGCATGCCTGCATGCTCAGGAACAGGACCTTTTCTGAGGGATGTTAATCATTGTTTACCAGGAAGGGAGTGTGGAAAATTCTGGTTTACAGATAACTAACAGGTAATTGGAGAAGGCAATGGCAACCCATTCCAATACTCTTGCCTGGAAAATCCCATGGACAGAGGAGCCTGGTAGGCTGCAGTCCATGGGGTCGCTAAGAGTCGGACACTACTGATCGACTTCACTTTCACTTTTCACTTTCATGCATTGGAGAAGGAAATGGCAACCCACTCTAATGTTCTTGCCTGGAGAATCCCAGGGACTGGGGAGCCTGGTGGGCTGCCATCTATGGGGTCACACAGAGTCGGACACGACTGGAGAGACTTAGCAGCAGCAGCAATAACAGGTAATTCTTTCCTACAAGACTTCTCAGAACCTCCAACATGTGCTCCAAAGAGGAAAGATTCAGTGAACATGGAATCCTTTTTGTGTGTGTTGTGGGGGGTGCGGGTGGTGGCGGGTTGTGGGTCAGACTTTGAAACAGGTGGCCCTTGGGAAGTAGCCCTGGGTTTTTCCAGCTCACACCTTCCCCGGTGCACCTTGATAGGGGGAAAGCTTTCAGGGGGTCAGCTGGGATGGGGACCAGCACCAAGGAAAGAAATCTGTCCCCAAGCACCTCGAGGCCCTCTTAAGGTTCCCCCAAACTAGAGAAGGAATGTCTGCACTGTTGGGACTCCACCAAGAACTCACCTCAGTGTGGCCCCATCCTCCCCCTCCCCACTCCCCACTCCCACCTCTCCCAGCTGGTCAGTTGTCCCAGTGCTCAGAGCATAAAGGAACAACCAGATCTCGCCCATTCAGATCCCACGTGATGGACAATGGAGAGTAACTGTCTGGGTTTCAGAGGAGTAGTACTCAGCCATCCTGTAGAAGGGACGGCCCACGTGGGACAGGATGGAAGAAGTCAGTTCAGTGGGGAGAAAGGCGTCCAGAGAGACTCAGAGGCCAGACTTAAACACAATGCACTTTATTGGCGACAGAACGGATGGGCAGAGGGACCTGTGTGTTATATACATCAGAACTGTGGTGACCATTCCACCCCAGGAGGAGGCCCCAAAGGCAGCGAAGATGGTGGCTGGGGCCACACCTAGACAATCACAGACTCAGGCGGGAGCCAGAGAGAGAGTCTGAAAGTCTCCGGGCCGTTCTTACTCGGGGATCTGGATGCTTGAAGGACAAGAGGCCCCAGTCTTTTAGCCCCAAAAAGCGGCTGCCGGCGGGGACTGGAGAGGGGAGAGGTAGCGGAGTGGGAGGGCGCTGAGGAGGCTGCAGACATGAGAACTGAGGAGCGGATAGGAACGACGGGCGGCGCTGGGGCGGCTGCGGTGCCCTGCGCGGTATTTTATCTGGAGGTGCGCTGGGAGGACTGGGAGAACCTGACGCTGCCGCCCCGGCTGCTGCCTGAGCTGAAGCCTCCACCGCTGACCCCAGAGCGACCCCCGGAGCCACAGCCGAATCCGCTGCTGCTGCCGCCGCCGTATCCGCTGCTGCCACTGAATCCGCTACCTCCGCCAAAGCCGCTGCCTGCGCCGAAGCCGCTGCCGCCGCCGAAGCCACTGCCGCCGCCGAAGCCACTGCCGCCGCCAAAGCCACTGCCGCTGCCGCCGCCGAAGCCGCTGCCGCCGGCCCGGCCGAAGCCGCTGCCTGCGCCGCCTCCCACGCCAACGCCACCGCCGTATCCGCCTCCGAAACCACCCGCCGAGGCGGAGGTGGTGCTGCTGCTGCTGACCACGGCTGCAGGGGAGACCACAGAAACAGCGGTCAGCTCCCGGCCACCACCTCCCTATATCATAACGATCCCCTGGGCCCAGGATGATTGAGAGAAGATCAAGGCAGCTTTGAACCTGATGATCACTGTCTTGCGTTCTGATGTGGTGAGGTGTTCACCCCTACAGTGTTAAGTCAGTTTGAATTTTCCAATGGTTCTTTCTACATATTGTCACCTCTGAAGACCCGCCCATGGAGATGATCCAGAATTTCTCCTCCCCTTAACAAGCTCCCTATTAGATATCCCCCCACCCTCCATACAGTACTATTAATAGTGCTCTGAGCCAAGAACCTTTACCAAAGCATATCTGCTGCCCCTTCTGCCCCCAAAAAAATGGGTCCAACCGCCATGGAAATATTGTTTAAATTAGGAACTATCGCCTTGAATTAGTACAGATATTTCAGAACCAGTTCTCACTCTCCTGGTTTCTTTGGCTACTTACAGATGCTAACAGCACTCTGGCACTCTCCAGACATCCTGTATGAGAAAACAAGAGAAGGCTAGCTCAGTTGCAAAGCAAATTTCCAACAAGTCCATGAATGAAAGTGACAGCAACCAGAACAGAATTCAGCAGCCTGGCGCATCAGTAGTCTTTCTCCACTGTTCATGGGCCAACACAGAACCCCTATGCACACTGGTTACCTATGCACTTGGCCATCTATGGAGGGCATCAACTGGCAAAGGAAGTAGTTGCCTATAAGCCCTGTGCAAGGTGGGGCCCTCTCTCTATAACAGGCCTCCCCATTCCCTTGGTCATTTATCTGGCCCTCAGCATGTGACTTGGGGCAAGAGAAGCAGAGAGATGGCAATAAGAGGCCCACCTGCACTCCTCGCCCTCCAGCAGCTTGCGGTAGGTGGCGATCTCCACGTCCAGGGCCAGCTTGACATTCATCAGCTCCTGGTAGTCACGCAGCAGCCGGGCCAGGTCATCCTTGGCCTGCTGAAGGGCGGCCTGTAGCTCTTGGAGCTTGGCGTTAGCATCCTTGAGGGCCAGTTCCCCACGCTGCTCAGCTTCAGCAATGGCCGTCTGCAGTTTAGCGTTCTGGAGCAGGGGGAGGGAGGAGGAACGATGAGCCCAGTAGGAGGGTCCCAGGTTCTCTGAGTCTTAAACTAGATTACTCCAGAGCAAGTCAGTCAACCTCACCCCTTCCTTAGCACCTCTGTCTGTCTTCATGCACGGAAGACAGATGGATGGCTGTGGCTTACCAGCAATCTAAACTGGCTTTGTCTTTGAACTCCTTGAAGGCCAGTGCTGCCTGAGATGACCCCAGAAGTCCCTTCCCCCAGACTAGGAGTCCTGAGATCCTAGCCCCAACCCCTCACCCATCAGCCTAGACACCAGCATCCGTGGCCGTCCCACCTGCTTCTTGACATTCTCTATCTCAGCCCGCAGCCTCTGGATCATCCGGTTGAGCTCCGAGATCTCACTCTTGGTGCTCTTCAGGTCATCCCCATGCCTGCCAGCCGTGGTCTGCAGTTCACCCAACTAGAGAATAGAAGGGACAGTCAGGTGTTGATGCAGCCTTGCCTGGTGTGTTTCTCCATCCCTAATGTCACCCAGCCAAACTTGAGGTACTTAGTAAGCACTGTGTTTAAATGACATTGAATTATGCTTCTGCAGGGACATCTCTGAGGCAGCAGGGAAAAGAACATCTGGTGTGTTGTAGAAAGTTCTCCCACCCCACAATCCCTGAGCAAGCTGGAGTGGGTCCCATGTGGTCTGGCAGGGGACAGTGAAACCACTTCCCCCTAGGGGGCAGCACTTTCTGCAACTGAACAACCTTGACAGGATGTCTCCAAAGAGGAGAATCAAGATGGGCCACCCAATGGCCACCACCCAGCCATCCCGTGGACCACAGCCTCCCTGGGACCTTCAGTGAATCCTCTGAGAAGTGCCTAGCTCTCACCTTGGTCTGGTACAGGGCCTCGGCCTCGGCCTTGCTCCTCTGGGCGATCTCCTCGTACTGGGCCTTGACCTCGGCGATGATACTGTCCAGGTCCAGGCTGCGGTTGTTGTCCATGGACAGGACCACCGATGTGTCACTGACATGGCTCTGCATCTGGGACAGCTCCTGCCAACGCACAGGGGCCTATTCACTGGTGGGGCCTCTGCAGCCGGCACACAGAAGCCTCAAGAGACTCCTGATCGATGCACCCATCTGCTGAGTCAGCTCGGAAGGTGGATCAGCTCCGCCCTGCCTGCCAGCCTCTCAGAGACCCCACGCTTGCAGTTCCTCCTGGGGAGCCCCAACAAGAGGCCTTATCTCAAGGTTCAGTCTTCCTGGACCCTACCTATCAAATCTGAAAGTATCTCACCCTCCCTCTTGCCCCCTCCTGGTAGGAAACATCCTCACCATATCATAGAGTGTCGTCAAGAAATTGATCTCATCTGTTAAGGAATCCACTTTGGCCTGAAGCTCCACCTTGTTCATATAGGCAGCATCCACGTCCTGAGAAAGACAGATAAACACATAAAGGCCTTATTCCTCCAAGGAATGCACAGCAAGCTATAGCCACAGCAAGACCAGTACTTGTCCGAAGCTGGTCTCCACATGAAAGATTCACATCAAGGGGATGGCGGAAGGTCTACTCAAAAACTAGAAAATGAGTGAACTGACTCCTTGAGGCATCTCTCCAGACTAAGATGCACTTGGATTTTATTTTTGCTTCCAACTGCCTGAACTTGGCAGCTCTATAGCAGTGGAGCAAGGATTCCCCCCAGCCCAGCTGGAAACCAGTGTCTACAAGCCCTAGAAACCTCACACTACAGCCCTTACCTTCTTCAGGGTCACAAATTCATTCTCAGCAGCTGTGCGCTTATTGATCTCATCCTCATATCTGTAAGAGTTAAAAGGAAATCACTGTTTGCAGTATGAGGTAGTCATAAACGCCACTGTTCTCTGAATCTCTGAAACTACCTCTGTTCTGTCCTCTGTCCCCCTCCCGCCCCTCTTAAATAAACACACCCTCTCACTGTCCCCTGTTAATTAGAAGGACCAACCATTCCCATTCATTCTGGCAGACTGTCTGGTTTTAACACGGAAAGTTCAAAGTCCTGGGAAACCCCTCCATCCCCGGTAGACTGGATGCTTGGTCACCACCCTGTGAGTTGTCCCAGCATCCTTCAGATCCTACAACCAGGATCTTCCCCAGCCTGGCTCATGAGAAAGTGTTTCTTCAGCTCTAGCCTTCTAATTTTCTTTGTAAAGGACTATCCTTCAGGAAAGAAGATGAGGAGGAACCAAATGAACCAAACTGTCCTCTATGAAGATACAGGGAAGTGAGCTAAGGGGCAGCCCTCTCAGTGGGCAAGGGGAAAGCAGTGAAAACTGGGATTCTGAGACAAGATCGCCCACAGCATCTTCCCACATGTGCCTGTCACTCACTTCTTCTTAAAGTCTTCCACTAGGTCCTGCATGTTCCTCAGCTCTGAGTCCAGACGGCCTCTCTCCCCCAGAATGCTGTCCAGGTAGCTCCGCAGGGAGTTGATGTAGTTCTCAAAAAGGGGCTCGAGATTGTTGGTGCCTGTGATGTGATGTGTGCCCTGCTGCTGGAGCAGGCTCCACTTGGTCTCCAGGACCTTGTTCTGTTGCTCCAGGAACCGTACCTGGAGTGCATTGGGAGAAGCAAACTCAGGCAGTGCTTGGAGCAGAGGGGCCTTGCCTTGGGCAGAACTCGGTGTCTGCATCTCCCCATCTCCCAGTACAAAGGCCTAGAAAGCTCCCACTGTGGCTAGAGAGAGTATGGTCAGACTATCACAGCAGTCAGGCCATTGAAGATGCAAGACGACTTCCTTACAGAAGCAGGAGAAATGGGAGGGGAAACTGGAAGTAACCCCTGCCTGGAAGCGAGAGACTTGACCCTTCAGTATTCCTGGGGACTTCATGATTCTAGCCCAATTCCAAAAACACACAGCACACCGCAAGAAGGTGCTTAAACCTCAACAGCATTGTTTTCCATCTAAGACACCATTGACGCCCCACTTATATTCACTTCAAAGGATGTGAATGGCTAGGAACTGACACAGTTGAAATGCTACTATCATCGTTGTGACAGGAGAGAGACAGCCAGTGTGAGCCACCCTGCTCTAGAGGTCCCCAAGCACCCTGCTCTTCCCGATAAGGTTGATTGAGGTGCAGACTGAGTTTCTAGGGTCTCAGCAGCCCCTTGGGACTCAGGTTCCCCCTTGAGCCTCTTGAATTCCTTCTCTAGGGTGCCTGCCTCCTTTGCCTGGCACATTGCCATAGAGAAACAAGGCCTCCTGGAAAGCCCCAGAGGGCAGCCCATGTTTGAATAGCCCCCAGTTCTGGGTCAGACCCTTGCCTGTCAGAGGTCATGACCCCCACCCTGCCCTGCCAGCACTACCTTCCCAGGCTGGATAAGGCAACAGGTGGGAGTCTTGAGCAAAGAGACAGACAAGCAGGACTTGGGAATGTGGGGGTCCAAAGGGGACCATCATCTTTCCCAATCACATGACTACGTGGGCAGGTTCATCAGCCCTGAACATCCTCATAAGAGCCAAGAATGATGCCTAACCCTTCCCCTCCAGCCTGGACCACTCTGAATTGATCCTAAACACTGTATGTAAATATCAAACTCAAAGTCCCCAACTTAGGAATGGGGGATGCATCAGGGCTTTCTCACCTTGTCGATGAAAGAGGCAAACTTGTTGTTGAGGGTCTTGATCTGCTCCCGCTCTTGGGTTTTTACTTGCCCAATCTGGGGGTCGATCTCCACATTGAGGGGCTGCAGGAGGCTCTGGTTGACAGTCACTTCCTGGATTCCCCCAGGGAAGCCACCAGGGCCAAAGCCACCAGGTCCTCCAAAACCACCGGGTCCTCCAAAACCACCAGGTCCACCAAAACCACCAGCTCCTCCAAAACCACCAGCCCCACCAAAGCCACCAGCTCCTCCAAACCCACCAGCCCCACCAAAGCCACCAGCTCCTCCAAACCCACCAGCCCCACCAAAGCCACCAGCTCCTCCAAAACCACCTCCCATTCCTCTGCCACCACCAAAGCCACCTCCATAACCACCTCTGTAGCCACTCCCAAAGCTACTGACACAGCTGCTGCGCCCTCCTCCAAAGCCACCAGCCCGGGAGCCGCCAGCCATGCTGATGGAGATGCTCTTATTGCCACCCAGGTTGTAGAGGCTGCGACTGCCAAAGCCGCCTGCTCCACTCCGGAACCCATAGGCCCCTCCGCCGGCTCCCCCAGAGCGGGCCACACAGCTCATCCTGCTACTGCCAGAGACCACGGCAGAGCGGCCTGAGAAGCCCTGGCTCCCACCGCCAGATGTCTTGCGGACTTGTCTGTTCATGGTGAGCAAAGTCGGTGAAGGGAAAGTGCAAGAGTTCAGCAGGGCCGCTCAGAGCCAGAGGAAGAGAGGCGCAAACTGAAGACCTGAGCGGGATAAATCCCTTTATATACATCTAGGAGGCTGCTGGGCTCAAACGAAGGAGAGATAATTAATCTCAAATAGTCATGGGTTGGGTTTGCCTTCCAGGCAATGTTAGTTCTAGGCTACTAAACACACCTTAAAAATAATCTGAAATGGTGAAAGTGCTAAGGTGGCAGGCTTACCTGGCACTGGGAGGTTCCTGACTTGGCCCTGTGCTTGGGCATGGCCACCTCCTAGCTTTGTCTGGCAGGACCCAGGAGACACAGTAATCTGTCTACTGGCCAGCTGTCCCAGGTCCTGCCAGAGCTGGGCTCAGCTCTGGAAAGGATGGAGTGGAAGGTGGATTGGAGAGGTTCTGGTTGTCTGGGTGGTGGAGACAGTGAAGCTCACTCAAGGGCTCAGGCAAGTATCTCAATGGGAGGGGTGATACAGTCTACTCCACAGACTGCACATGGCCATGGAGCACCCACTGTGTGCCCACCTCTGTGCCGGGTTTGAGGATGAATTGATGACCTCTCCTCTTCCCTTCCTGGAAACAAAGCCCAGAACCATCACAAAGCTGCCTCCTGGGTTCCCCCTGTCTCCTAAGCTGTAGTTCAGGAGGCTGCAGCATTTGGATTCATGACTCTTCTTGAAAAAGAGGAAGGAATTAACACTATGTGCTTTGATAAGCCATCAGCAAAATTCAACAAGCCAGTTCATTTTGCAAACTTCCCAAGAAATCCATACACTATTCCCTATCTTCAGAACATCCCTAAAGCTTCCTTTCTTGCTCCCCCCATTTTTGGCATCTTCCTGGTTTCAGTCCAAGTCCCAGGTGACTGGAAATTCAAACATCAATTATACCACAAATGTGACACCTATTGACAGATGACCTAACTCGTCTCAGGCACTGGATGAGCCACTGGAGACAGACACAGGAACTGTTCTCTGGTGAAGGGGACAAGTGCTCCTGTGGGTCTGTGGCCTCAGTGTCAAGACACCCACCCCCCATCCCCACCCCCAGCCTCAGAAGTCCAGGCCCGGCAAGGCCAGCAACACTGTCGTACGTGTCTAACTCTGAAAACCTGAGAATCTGCCAGTCTAAAGTTTTTCAGAGGCTTAGGGACTGGGCTTGGCTTGTTCAAGAGGAAAGCCTTTCTGCGCAGGTGTGGAGCCTGCCAAGTCAGCCATGGATCGCTCCAGCACAAGACTTTTTCCTTCTGTCTACTGCACAGATGACCCTGTCATGGGTGTGGCCTGTGTGGCCTGGGCCTCCTCAGAATGGGGGGAAAGAGAGAAGGATGGTGGATTCTTCATCGCTCACTGGGCTGGGCTGGGGGTGGCCCATGTGCAGAGGAAGTGATCCTCTCTTCAGTGGCCTGATTCTCCCATGTGTCCTCAACCTACTTCGTTACCTCCAGGCTCTGCAACATCATGGTCCCTCCCGCGGAATAAAGCCATAAACTTTTCAGGAGCTTACAGTCTTGTCCAAACACTGGACCCTCTGGTTCTTAGCACAGCACTGTGCCAATAATAGACGCTCCTAAAGGTTGGTTGGTTGAGTGAATGATCAGTCACTTAATGGAAAAATTGATGAATGAATTAAGCCTGTTCGCTGGATTACAGCCAAATAAAACTAGTCAAAGGTTAACTGAAATCCCATTACATAAGGTCCTGGAGAAGCAACTGGCAACCCACTCCAGTACCCTTGCCTGGAAAATTCCAAGGACAGAGGAGCCTGGCGGGCTACAGTCCATGGGATCACAAAGAGTCAGACCCAACTGTGTGACTTTCACTTTCTTTCTTTACATAAGATAGTCCAAGCTAACAGAGATGATCTCAGCATAAAGAATCCAGACCTCTTGAATTTGGTGTTCAGATTTAAGAAAATATATGTGCAAATGAGTGGCATCTCCTCTCCAGCAAAAAAAAAAAAAAAAAACTATATAATCACAGTATAAAGAATGAGTTGAAGAATCCACCACAGAATCATGTTGAAGTTGACTGGGCCTTTGAGTCACATAATCTGTCTCCCACCCAGTACTGGGACTCCCTTGCAGCAGGTCTGACTTACACCCCTGATCTTCCACAACTGCTACCCACAGATTATTGGCAGGAGAAATTAGCTCAAGGCCCAGAGGGTGCTGTACACACACCCTCCTCAGTTTTGCTCCCTCAGAGGAACCAGAGTTTAAAGAATGAACCAAACTCAGAGCTGGACCAGCCTCTCCCCATGACTAACCATGACCAAGGCTATTTAAATTCTCCATGTGTCAGCATTATTAACCGATAAAGATGGTCAGTAGTCTCTACCCTTCTGGTTCTCACAGGATAATAGATGGATGAGTTTTATGAAACGTACAGCAAAAATTAGGTCATATTTTTTCTCTCTTAGTGTTTAAGTGTATGTGCTTTAGAGTCAAATAGACCCAGCTTTGATTTCACTTTTTTTAATTTAAGTATAGTTGATTTATAATATTGTTAATTTCTGTTATGTATATATATATATTCTGTTATAATATTGCTAATTTCTGCTGTATAGCAAAGTGATTCACCTATACATATATATACATTCTTTTTGAAATTCTTTTTTTGCATTATGATTTATCACAAGATATTGAATATAGTTCCCTGTGATGTACAGTAGGACTTTGCTATTTATCCATTCTCCATTTAATAGTTTACATCTGCTAACCCCAGCCTCCCAATCCAGCTCTCCCCTGCCCCCTGCCCCTTGGCAACCACAAGTCTGCTCTCCATGAAATAGCTTTGTCTCTGTGTGTCTGTGCGGAAATTGATTAACCTCTCTGTGCCTTGGTTTCCTCATCTGTAAAATTAAGTTGCTAAAAGTACCTCTGTCATAGTCATTGTCATGTCCAGAAAGTACCTAGCACAGTATACATGTTCAGTGTTCACTGTTATTTTTAGCTATTTTTGTTTACAAATCACATGGAGAATTTCAGCTTTCATACCTGTCGAAAGAACAACCCAATGAAGTAATGATTCCCTTTGCTAATTAACCACTGAGATGCCCCAGGGAATGTGAAAACAGCATGGGGCCAGATAGCTAGAACCACATCAACTCCATGATGAGATGAGAGGAAGCAGGCCTCAGCTTCTGGCCCAACAAAGAGAAATCCATGAGCAAATAAGAGATGTGTTTACCAAGCATGGATGCTCTGGATCACTATGTGGCAAAAAGAATGGTTTCCAAAGAACTTGCAGTGCAGAAAAGCCAAACATTATAAGACTGTGCAAAACTAAGTCCCCCAGATAGGAAAAGAAGAAGTGAAACTCTCTCTGTTTGCAGATGACATGATCCTCTACATAGAAAACCCTAAAGACTCTACCAGAAAATTACTAGAGCTAATCAACGAATACAGTAAAGTTGCAGGATATAAAATTAACACACAGAAATCTCTTGCATTCCTATACACTAACAATGAGAAAACAGAAAGAGAAATTAAGGAAACAATACCACTTACCATTGCAACAAAAAGAATAAAATACTTAGGAGTATATCTACCTAAAGAAACAAAAGACCTATACATAGAAAACTATAAAACACTGATGAAAGAAATCAAAGAGGACACAAACAGATGGAGAAATATACCGTGTTCATGGATTGGAAGAATCAATATTGTCAAAATGGCTATACTACCCAAAGCAATCTATAGATTCAATGCAATCCCTATCAAACTACCAACGGTATTTTTCACAGAACTAGAACAAATAATTTCACAATTTGTATGGAAATACAAAAAACCTCGAATAGCCAAAATAATCCTGAGAAAGAAGAATGGAACTGGAGGAATCAATCTGCCTGACTTCAGGCTCTACTACAAAGCCACAGTCATCAAGACAGTATGGTACTGGCACAAAGACAGAAATATAGATCAATGGAACAGAATAGAAAGCCCAGAGATAAATCCATGAACCTATGGTCACCTTATCTTTGACAAAGGAGGCAAGGATATACAATGGAAAAAAGACAACCTCTTTAACAAGTGGTGCTGGGAAAACTGGTCAACCACCTGTAAAAGAATGAAACTAGAACACTTTGTAACACCATACACAAAAATAAACTCAAAATGGATTAAAGATCTAAATGTAAGACCAGAAACTATAAAACTCCTAGAGGAGAACATAGGCAAAACACTCTCCGACATAAATCACAGCAGGATCCTCTATGACCCACATCCCAGAATTTTAGAAATAAAAGCAAAAATAAACAAATGGGACCTAATGAAACTTAAAAGCTTTTGCACAACAAAGGAAACTATAAGCAAGGTGAAAAGACAGCCCTCAGATTGGGAGAAAATAATAGCAAATGAAGCAACAGACAAAGGATTAATCTCAAAAATATACAAGCAACTCCTCCAGCTCAACTCCAGAAAAATAAATGACCCAATCAAAAAATGGGCCAAAGAACTAAACAGACATTTCTCCAAGGAAGACATACAGATGGCTAACAAACACATGAAAAGATGCTCAACATCACTCATTATCAGAGAAATGCAAATCAAAACCACAATGAGGTACCATTACACACCAGTCAGGATGGCTGCTATCCAAAAGTCTACAAGCAATAAATGCTGGAGAGGGTGTGGAGAAAAAGGAACCCTCTTACACTGTTGGTGGGAATGCAAATTAGTACAGCCACTATGGAAAACAGTGTGGAGATTTCTTAAAAAGCTGGAAATAGAACTGCCATATGACCCAGCAATCCCACTTCTGGGCATACACACCGAGGAAACCAGATCTGAAAGA